CCTTTGTTTAAAACAGGGGATACCGAGGATAACACTACAGATCAATATCTATCACTCTTGCGCTGGCAGAAACTTTTTTAAAACCCTTCAACAAATGATCGAGTACCTAGATAAATTCTATTTGATGAGTGAACATCAATTTAAATTTCGAAAACAATTTTCTACCACAGATGTCCATATGCAATTAACAGAAACAATCAGAACACAAGTCGATAATAGGACGCTGGCTGCGGATGCTCTTCTTGACTTACCTGAAGCTTTCGACTAAATTGAGGAATATTTTCTGTTCAAAAAACTGAACTCATTAGGCTTTGATTCAAGCGCCAAAATCCTCATTATGAGATATTTGAGAAACTGACATCAAAAAAGCGTCTTAAAGAGAACAGAATCAGTTCGATTAGAGTTGTAAGAGGAGTTCCAAGGACCGCTTTGGTTTAATCTATATGTCAATGATATGTACAAAAAGTTTAAATGATATCCAGTAATATGCAGATGATAGAAGACTGCTGAGTAACGGTCAAAAAAAGCCATTAGAAAAAGTTTGCTAAATAACATCGATAATTTTTCAATTAGCTTAATCCACACTCTTTGAAAATCAAACTAGATCAAACTGAATTTAATGTTTTCGGGAATAATTGAAAACAAAATCACAATTGATGTGATCACATTATAAAGGAGGTTTATGAAGCTGAACATTTGGGCGTCCTAATTGACAACCAACTAACATACCAAAATCAGTTTACAAATTATTTGCAATGGCACTGGGTATCAAAACTATCTTCACACTCCGGAAAATTGTACCATAAAAACTGAAAATCAAGGTTCATTAGTTGTCTAGTTCTTAGCCATTTACAATACTCTTTCTTAGTCAAAAAATGATCAGTTTCAAAACCGCCACAATCTTTTAAAAAAATTTGTTCAAGTATATCAAACTTCAGGATGAAAGCATTAATTTTCATAAATTTGTTTTATACACCACGAAACAAATTCCGAACTCAAATCAAATAACTCTCGTTATGCATGCCGCTGTCAATACTTAAAGAGTTGTAAGCCACCTTGAACAGCGCTTCGAGAAAACAACTTTGATAAATATGGATCCGCAAAACCGATAAACTAGAAAAAAAACCTATATTGGATATTTCTGAAACGGTTCCACTGTGACTCTATGTATCCGAGTATTCTAAAAAAGACTGACAAGTTATCTCGATGCCATCTGCGCATACCTAAATCTTAAGATTATAAGCTTAATGAACTAAATAATGAGACACAGAGGCGAAGCGGGACATCTCACCAAATGCGAATACAACAAACAAAAAAAACAAGTCGAAAAAAATCTAGTTTACATTCAGTAAAATAGGCGAAATTAGATTTGAACCTAATTCTTTCAAATACTGTAAAACCAGGACATCTCATCAGCATGGGGATTTTTCTCTTATATGTGAGTTATCAGACATGAAAAAATACGACTTCTTCTAGCTTTGAGAAAAATAAACCCTTGGGTCCTTCTAAAAACCAGCATGGGCCTTACAATATTCGGCCTGAAATGGCATCTTCAATTATCAAATGACTTAATAAAAAACTCGCTCTCAAAACTTTTCTAGGCAGAATTACATCGGCTAAAACTATACCTTTGTTTGAAAAAGGGGATACCGAAGATAACAAACTACAGACCAATATCTATCACTCTTGCGCTGGCAGAAACTTTTTAAAAAACCCTTCAACAAATGATCGAGTACCTAGCTAAAATCTATTTGATGAGTGAACATCAATTTAAGTTTCGAAAGCAATTTTCTTCCTAGATGCCCATATGCAATTAACAGAAACAATCAGAACACAAGTCGATAATAGGACGCTGGTTGCGGATGCTCTTTTTGAAGTACCTGAAGCTTTCGACTAAATTGATGATTATTTTCTGTTCATAAAATTGTACTCATTAGGCTTTGATTCAAGCGCCAAGTTCTCATTATGAGTTATTTGAGAAACTGACATCAAAAATCGTCTTAAACGGAACATAATCAGTTCGCTCACAGTAGTAAGAGGAGTTCCAAGGACCTCTTTTGTTTAACTTATATATCAAGGATATATTCAAAAAGGTTAAATGATTGATATCAAATCAAATGCAGGTGATACATTACTGGTGAGTAACGGTCAAAAAATAGCCATTGCAAAAAGTTTGCCGAATAATATCAATAATTTTTCAATCACCTTAATCAAGCCTCTTTGAAAATCAATCAAGATAAAACTGAATTTATTGTTTTCGGGCATAACTCAAAAAAATCACAATTGATGTTCGTGATCAAATTATAAAGGAAGTTAATGAAGTTGAACATTTGGGCCTCCTAATTGACAACTAACCAACATACTAAAATCAGATTACAAATATTTTGAAAAAAATGGCACTGGGTATCATAACTATCTACACACTCCGGGAATTTGTACCATTGAAGTTAAAATCAATGCTCATTAGTTGTCAGTACTTAGCCATTTACAAAAATTGGCTGTGATCCTGAGTACGATATCAAAAAATCTAATGTTACACTAGAAAAACAACTCAGCTGGGCCGCTAAATTTCATTCATCGGCAAATTTAAAGCTAGAACAGAATTTTACTAGTTCGTTTTTTGCTTTATTACATTCACCAACCTCTAAAAGGTCAACAACTTCATTTTTTGGTGACTGAAGCTTGGCTTTATTTAGCAGCAGTAAAAATTTAACTGAACGAAAAAAAACAAGTAGATTAATCACGTCGTTTCTGCTATAGCCAGTACGCACAAAAAAAGTATTTTCAGAAAAAATAATTCTAAGCAAAATGATCACTAATTATTTGACCAATTTTTCGCAAATCAGTAACTATTTTCTTTGTCAAAATACGTTCAGTTTCAACACTGCCACAAAGTTTGGAAAAAAATTTGTTCATTTATATCAAATTTCAGAATAAAAGCATTAACTTTTATAACTTTTTATTAAACACCACGAAAAAGATTCCGAACTCAAGGCAAATAACTCTCGTTATGCGTGCCTGTCAAAACTTAAAGAAACTTTTACGCTATCTTGAACAGCGCTTCGAGAAAACAACTTAAATACATGTGGACCCAAAAAACTGACAAACTAGAAAAAACTATACTAGATATTTCCGAAACGGTTGTACTGTGACTCTATATATCCGACTATTCTAAAAAGATTCTAACGTTATCTCGATGCCATCTGTGCATACCTAGATCTTAAGATTATATGCTAAAAAACCATAATGAGACAGAGGCGAAGCTTCGCACCAGTTGCGATACAACAAAAAAAGTCGAAAAAAGTTAAAATGTTGAAAAAAAACTAGTTGAACTGGATTAAAATGTCTGGATTAAAAAAAACAACTAAGTCCGAGCAAAAGCTGAGGTGCCTGTTTTATATTGAGTAAATTTGTTTTACTGATGCGGGATGAAAACTGCGATTTAAAAAAATTGGCCAAAAACCTTAGTTGTTTCTCTGAAAAAAATTAAGTGAGTAGAGTGCAAGTTTTTGAGGTTTTTAAATTTTTCAAGGAAACAGCATTTATCTTGCAAAAAACATGGAATCAGCGCTTCAGCAGGAATAATTCTTCAAAAAAATTTTTAATTGAGGAGTTAACCCAAAATCTCAGATTTGGATTTGGAAGGGTAGTTCACGAGAAAAGTCGTAGTTTCAAAAAAAAACGGTCAAAAATCAAACTTTGACTCTTCCCAGCGCAATACTTTTTCGTTAAAAAATAAGAGTGACCACTAACGCTGGGGAAATTTCCATTACCCGTTTTTTTCCATTGAATCCACAATTTTAGATTTGAGCTGTTAGTTTTCGAGCGAAGTCAAAAAGATTTAAAAAAAACAGTCAAAAAATCACAAACTTGACAATTCCAAGGGCCATGCATTCAAATGTAGACATAAAAAATTGAGCATAGCCGCTTATGCAGGGCATTTTTTCAAATTCTTTCAGCTCATTGAAAACAAAAATTTGGGAAGGGTAGTTTTCAAGAAAGCGAAAAAAATCAAAACATGGGTCAAATATTGCCCCACAGACCTTTTCGAAGGCTGTAGAGAGAGGATAAATAAAAAGAGACAAGTTGATTATGAATACAAAGTCAAGCAAAATTAAATTACAAAATGTAGGAATAAATCAAACACTAAAAGCAAAATTATAAGAAAAAGCACGCAGCAAAAAAATGATTCTGAGATATGACAAATAAGCCGACATAAGATAAGCAGACAAATAAGTGGCCGTCAATTTTAATTGAAACAGAATATTTCCTGTTTAAAAAAAGTCCTGGCCAGATTCGAACACAGGACCATTGCCGTCTCAGACGTATTCGTTACCTCCAGGCTCAAAAAGGCTAGTAAACTTGAATACATTATGAAACAATGTAGCACTAGAGATGATTCCGAGTCCTGTGAACCAAGTCATTTACGGGAAAAAGTCCACTGATTGCACTACTCTTGTTTATCGCAAGGATAAACAGTAAATAAAATATCAAAGATTTATTTTCAAAAATCAGCAAAATTTGTCTGAACTCAATTACCTGCATCATTTGGAATTTTTGCGATGGTATTATAAAAAAAAGGCAATACCTGAACCATCAAGATAAGACCGTGCAGCGGAAACTAAGCTGATTATGATGAGATTATGAGTAGATACGCCAGAAAAACAGAGATGCCTTTGAGTGAGAATGTCAGACTTTGTCTTTTGAAGCATTTGCGTTGACTCAATTGCGGAATCAGTCATTAAACATGTAAAACAAATCTCAGGCCTTTGTTTTCCCAAGCATCGGCGTTAATTCAATCAACCATTAAATATGACTTCATGAAGCACGTTGACCTTCATGTGCAAATTCAGTGAAGTTTTAAATGGAAAAAGTCTAGAACCAGGTCGGTAAAGAATAGCTATACTAATCATCCCATTCTTGGAATAAACTGCTCTAACAAGAAAAATAAAAAAAAAGCTAGCTTTCAGGGATTGAACTTTTTTTATTATAAAGCTCACCTTTAATGGTAGATCTTTTCGCTGGAGCTCCGTCAATTGAACCAGAAAATCTTTCTTGTTAACAGTAACTGCTTCTCCGCTTAAAACTTCTCTTGTCCGTTTAATCGATATTAGATAGCCATTCAGCAGTCCTTTATCATTAGGGTGTTCAAACTTGACAATTCCAAGGGCCATGCATTCAAATGTAGACATAACAAATTGAGCATAGCCGCTTATGCAGGGCATTTTTTCAAATTCTTTCAGCTCATTGAAAACAAAAATTTGGGAAGGGTAGTTTTCAAGAAAGCGAAAAAAATCAAAACATGGGTCAAATATTCCCCCACAGACCTTTTCGAAGGCTGTAGAGAGAGGATAAATAAAAAGAGACAAGTTGATTATGAATACAAAGTCAAGCAAAATTAAATTACAAAATGTAGGAATAAATCAAACACTAAAAGCAAAATTATAGGAAAAAGCACGCAGCAAAAAAATGATTCTGAGATATGACAAATAAGCCGACATAAGATAAGCAGACAAATAATTGGCCGTCAATTTTAATTGAAACAGAATATTTCCTGTTTAAAAAAAGTCCTGGTCAGATTCGAACCCAGGACCATTGCCGTCTCAGACGTATTCGTTACCTCCAGGCTCAAAAAGGCTAGTAAATTTGAATACATTATGAAACAATGTAGCACTAGAGATGATTCCGAGTCCTGTGAACCAAGTCATTTACGGGAAAAAGTCCACTGATTGCACTACTCTTGTTTATCGCAAGGATAAACAGTAAATAAAATATCAAAGATTTATTTTCAAAAATCAGCAAAATTTGTCTGAACTCAATTACCTGCATCATTTGGAATTTTTGCGATGGTATTATAAAAAAAAGGCAATACCTGAATCATCAAGATAAGTCCGTGCAGCGGAAACTAAGCTGATTATGATGAGATTATGAGTAGATACGCCAGAAAAACAGAGATGCCTTTGAGTGAGAATGTCAGACTTTGTCTTTTGAAGCATTTGCGTTGACTCAATTGCGGAATCAGTCATTAAACATGTAAAACAAATCTCAGGCCTTTGTTTTCCCAAGCATCGGCGTTAATTCAATCAACCATTAAATATGACTTCATGAAGCACGTTGACCTTCATGTGCAAATTCAGTGAAGTTTTAAATGGAAAAAGTCTAGAACCAGGTCGGTAAAGAATAGCTATACTAATCATCCCATTCTTGGAATAAACTGCTCTAACAAGAAAAATAAAAAAAAAGCTAGCTTTCAGGGATTGAACTTTTTTTATTATAAAGCTCACCTTTAATGGTAGATCTTTTCGCTGGAGCTCCGTCAATTGAACCAGAAAATCTTTCTTGTTAACAGTAACTGCTTCTCCGCTTAAAACTTCTCTTGTCCGTTTAATCGATATTAGATAGCCATTCAGCAGTCCTTTATCATTAGGGTGTTCAAACTTGACAATTCCAAGGGCCATGCATTCAAATGTAGACATAACAAATTGAGCATAGCCGCTTATGCAGGGCATTTTTTCAAATTCTTTCAGCTCATTGAAAACAAAAATTTGGGAAGGGTAGTTTTCAAGAAAGCGAAAAAAATCAAAACATGGGTCAAATATTCCCCCACAGACCTTTTCGAAGGCTGTAGAGAGAGGATAAATAAAAAGAGACAAGTTGATTATGAACACAAAGTCAAGCAAAATTAAATTACAAAATGTAGGAATAAATCAAACACTAAAAGCAAAATTATAGGAAAAAGCACGCAGCAAAAAAATGATTCTGAGATATGACAAATAAGCCGACATAAGATAAGCAGACAAATAATTGGCCGTCAATTTTAATTGAAACAGAATATTTCCTGTTTAAAAAAAGTCCTGGTCAGATTCGAACCCAGGACCATTGCCGTCTCAGACGTATTCGTTACCTCCAGGCTCAAAAAGGCTAGTAAATTTGAATACATTATGAAACAATGTAGCACTAGAGATGATTCCGAGTCCTGTGAACCAAGTCATTTACGGGAAAAAGTCCACTGATTGCACTACTCTTGTTTATCGCAAGGATAAACAGTAAATAAAATATCAAAGATTTATTTTCAAAAATCAGCAAAATTTGTCTGAACTCAATTACCTGCATCATTTGGAATTTTTGCGATGGTATTATAAAAAAAAGGCAATACCTGAATCATCAAGATAAGTCCGTGCAGCGGAAACTAAGCTGATTATGATGAGATTATGAGTAGATACGCCAGAAAAACAGAGATGCCTTTGAGTGAGAATGTCAGACTTTGTCTTTTGAAGCATTTGCGTTGACTCAATTGCGGAATCAGTCATTAAACATGTAAAACAAATCTCAGGCCTTTGTTTTCCCAAGCATCGGCGTTAATTCATTCAACCATTAAATATGACTTCATGAAGCACGTTGACCTTCATGTGCAAATTCAATGAAGTTTTAAATGGAAAAAGTCTAGAACCAGGTCGGTAAAGAATAGCTATACTAATCATCCCATTCTTGGAATAAACTGCTCTAACAAGAAAAATAAAAAAAACGCTAGCTTTCAGGGATTGAACTTTTTTTATTATAAAGCTCACCTTTAATGGTAGATCTTTTCGCTGGAGCTCCGTCAATTGAACCAGAAAATCTTTCTTGTTTACAGTAACTGCTTCTCCGCTTAAAACTTCTCTTGTCCGTTTAATCGATATTAGATAGCCATTCAGCAGTCCTTTATCATTAGGGTGTTCAATTATAACAGCGAAGCCCTCCACTTTTGATCCATCTGTTGTTTTATTTCTTCCAAAAGCCCTAATTTTTACACTTTTTGGTCGCTCCGGGGCTATTCCTTTATCAAGTTTGCGAAATAAATAACCATTTCGCTTTTCGAGAGTACATGGAACGCAAACTCCTAGGATATTTTCATAATCACAGGTGGTCGAGGTCCATGGTAGAGATGAGACTATCTTGAAACCGAAAAGTAGAATCGAAAACAGAATTGCCCCATGCTGAAAGCAACGAGGCATTCAAAAACTACCTAAAAAGAGACATTTAACATAACAAGAACTACCTTTCTTCCGAAAATTAAACAACTATTCACAACGCCGAAAAATAAAAAGCTATTCTCTCACCATGCCGAAAACTCAAAAAAACTATTCACAGCGCCGAAAAAATTATTCGTCCAAACTACAAATAATTGGTTTAATATATAATTAACAGCGGCCAATTTCCGACATCACAGCCCAGTATGTTCTCAATTTCATCATCGTGATTGTAATCACCCGGTCGCCTTTTAAAACTTGTCAACGTGGGGTTAAACATCACACAGACACTACATCTTTTAAAACATTCACAGTACCAGGGAGTGTTCGTCTTTTTGTTCAAACGGAACCGGTAAGGTTCGTAGAAATATGATTTCCCTCTATGAATAGGAATCGTCTGAACAAGTAAAAAAAAACACTTTAATTGCCAGTTGAGAGTATTTTCAAATGTACAAGTGTAAATCAAATAGTGATTATTATTATTGTCAAATACACTCAAATTTAATAATACAAAATTAAGCATTTAAATGATAGTATCACAATCTTACAAAATTTTCATTTAGAAAACTGAAATATTACCATGAAACTTTTCCATAGTGTGCCAGTCGGTCATATTTGGAAGTTTGACCATGAGAAAAACAAGAACGTTTAATTTTGGAGTGAAATTTGATTTTTCAAAAATTCGAATGGAGCCTGTCATGCACGATTTTCTCGCGATGACTGAAAACCGAAAAAGAGAAATCAGAACGATCGAGTAACAATCGCGGGAAAGTTGCCAGACAAAGCAGTAGGAAATTGCCATTCGCAATTTCCGTCACAATAAAACTAGAGTAGAGCTGTCCTATCTGAAACAGAAGGAAGCGTGTTCCCGAGAATTGGACTATTATTACTCGACTGGATTATCATTCAAACTGGACTAGAGTGATCCTTCGATGGAAAGGTGGACAGCTTGAGTGTCCCAATGGTTCACGAGAAACCATACTCTAGAGTTCAAACTTGGTCCTGTTATTGAAACTGATAAACATTAAACTCATTTAGTTACATTATTTAATTCTCCAGTTGATTACCGACCTAATTACTCCCAGTTCTTGAGCGTGCTACGATGTGAGTACTCAATTTAAATTTCTAGAGTGTGTTTTATGATTGTTATGTTGAGGTAAGGCGAGTTTTAGATTGATCCATCTGAAATGGATCAAAGTTCCACTGTCTGATAAAAAGTAACTTAACGGATTGTTCTGACCCGGTTCTTAACGGCGTTCATGTATTTTGGGTATCTAGAGACCTAAGTATGGGGACGTTCTTATTTCTAGAGTGGGTGGATATTTTGGTAGTAGCCTTTAAGCTGTAACGGGTCGTAGTCTCATGTCACAAGCGAACCGAATTGGCTCCGACTGATTTGAGGTAGAAAAACACAAGAGATAGTGTCCCTGACTCTTGAGCCAATGGTTATAGGGCCTAATTTTCTTAAGCCTCATGAGTGACTACAGTAGACGAATGTTACATAGTGTTTTTATGGTGCTCCTGGGTGTTTACGACATCAAGACTACGGAGTCGAACCCACTTGAGACAGCTTCGGGCTGCATGCCCATTCTAGAGTACCGGTGGTACGGTTCGGCAGGAACGTGCGAACCTTCCGGTTGTACCGTGATAGCTTTTTAAGAAAACTCGAGAAAACTTCCTGGCACGCTCTCCGAACGAGGTTTAGCTAACCGAGTAAAGGGGGGCAACTAGGGGGACAAAAACACGAGCAAAAAGACAAAAAGCGAAACAAAAACCAAAAAAGAATAGAAAAAGGAACAAAAACCATAAAACGAAAAAAGACAGTGACTTTGACACCAGATTAGTTGGATCAAACCTTTATATTATTTAAATAGTATACCCATACTGTTTTACAAGTTCGATCGTTTCGATCAACCTAGCAATTTAACCCAGTAACCACAATAAAGTGCCCGATTGTGGGGCTTTGTCAAGGGTTTTCAGATAGCTTGGAACTTAGCTGGAAAACAAGGAGACTTGACTGGAAGAGGTGACCAGCCGAAAGGGAAAGTGGTTCAGGAGCACTTGAGCTGAACCAATAGGAGACTGGACTGGAAGAGGTGACCAGTCGAGTGGGAAAGTAGCCAAGAAGGATTTGGCAGTTCTCGAGTTCTCAAGTTAGGCAGAACGGGTATCGTTAAAATCCA